ATAATAAGTAAATGATAAAAATTTCAAAATGATTGCACTGCTTTAAAGCCCTTTGACCTTTAATAATGTGTGGATGCACCCTGATGTGCTACGCATTCTCCAACGCGCCTAGGCATGCTTCTGATCAGGTGGTCAATGTCCTCCTGTGGTATTTCATTCCAGGCAACCACCAACTCCTCTCGAAGTGCTTCTAGAGTCTGAGGAGGACGTTGCAAATTGAGCATCTCCTACCCATCATATCCCACACGTGCTCAATTGGGGATAAGTCGGAAGATCTTGGTGGCCATGGTAACAATGTGACATCATTATGTTGAAAGAAGTCTATTGTGACTCTTGCAACATGTGGTCGGGCATTATCTTGTTGGAAAGTTGGATCTGCCAGGGTGTCAAGATAGGGTAAAAGATGGGGTTCTAGAACTTCGTGGATATAACGCTGCGCGTTCATGTTACCTCTGATGAAGATTAAAGGTGACCTGGAACCATAAGCTATAGCACCCCAACCCTGGTACCATCATCGTGCATGCCTAAACAAAATCGAGACTCGTCACTAAAGACAATACTGTTCCATTCCTGATCCCAGAGTGACCGTTGTCTGCACCACTCAAGGCGATTACGTCGGTGTTCTCGAGTTAAAGGGAGGACCCAGTGTGGCCGGTATGAAAACAAGCCAAAGCTTCTCAATCGTCGGTAAACACTTCGCATGCCAACAGGTCTTCCGTGTTCTGCAAACCATTCATTTGCAATGGACATGGTAGTGGAGAAACGGTCCCTTAAGGCCAATAATCTTAGGCGGCGATCTTCACGGTCTGTTGTTCTACGGCGGCGTCCAGTGCCCCTTGCTCTTTTCGTACGGCCTTCTCGAAGCCATGCCTGACAACACCTAACCACAGTGTCTACACTTCTTTGCACTCTAACTGCAATTGCCCGACAAGAAAGTCCAGCTTCCCGAAGTCCCACTATACGGCCCCTATCAAACTCACTAAGTTGACGAAATCGTACAGGTCTTCGTACTCTAGGCATCGTAACCGATCGTAAAGGATGTCAAGAATCAAAATCCGCCAACGTTGATTCTTTACTGCGGCTGAAATATTCATTTTTAGAGCGTTAGTGAATAAAAAAAAAGCAGTATAAAAACCGGAATGTCCAACTGATAAGGCTGAACATTTTTTCACTTGTTATTTACAGTAAGATAAATACATTCACCAACTTTTATTAAAATAGAACCATTTAAACTGGGTGTTCGGATCTATATGTCACTTTTATAATCCATAAGGATTTAGAAGACTTACATTTCTGAATCTATTTTAAGAGGCATTTGAAAAAGTGCTTACATTCTGTTTCACGGACTGAAATTCATAAGCTCATAAATACGGACATCAAGTCAACTAATAATCAACTGTGACTTATTCTTGCCCTATACCTTTTATTCTATTCTACAGTTACAGATTGAAATTATTGGCCCATGCCAATGCCTCCTATGGGGCCTGTTTTTATTTCATATTTATTTACTCATGTTGTTTTCTTTGTAATTGAGTGAATAAATATTATTATTCTTATTCACTTAACAGCCTAAGGACTGTTGTTAATCGACCTCAGTTATTTACATTATATGACGCCCAAGTGGAACCGCGGCTGAGGTATGAAATGTGTTTCAGAGATATTCTATAGACGCACAGAACGTATGTTTATGCTAGTAAAGAATAATACGGTGCATAGCCAAAGTAACCCTTTGTACCAGCTGTAAAGACATTTTTAAGGAATATCAAGTTTTTATTTTTTAACCGTGTGTGTATACATTTTTAAATAAACAACGTTTCATTAATATCGATATTCTGAATTTGATGTTATTAGTAGATCGCCGAATGTTATAGGCCCATGAGTTGAAGCGGTTTCTATTGAGTGATATTTTTACAGTGCCTGGATCTGTTTGTAAATAGTTGTTTATTTGTATACAGAAATCTTTATAGGCAGATCGTTCTACAATTTCGGCACCCTAACGATGTAGGAGCTGTCGTACTGGCCAGTTCTGGATGTATGATGCTTGATACGGTTTGGAGTTTGGATGGGAAGCCGAAGTCAGGCGGGTTTTTCTGGCAGGCGCATCGCGTGGCGGCATCATGGAGGAGAGCTTTGAGAAGCAAAACTCGTTGACATAGCGGTAGAAGAGAGCTAGATTGCCGACGACCCGTCAGTGCGACTATCCGATAGAGAAGGAGAAGAGTCATTGATCAGTCGGACAGCCTTCCTCTGAACAGCATCGAGCATGGGTAATGTAGTCGAGGCAGCAGCAGCTCAAACATGTGAGCAGTACTTGGGGCTAGGTCTTATTTGGGAATTGTACATAGTGTGTAGGTTATGTGGAGAAAAGGGCTTCTTAGCTCTAAACAAGCAGCCCGGCTTTTTTCCAACAGCTGCCGTGATTGTCGGGGTATGTTCGTTACAGGTCAAGTCTTCAGCGATCTGGACTCCGACCAGCTGAAACGCTGATAACCTCCAGATCTCTTGACAGAAAGGAAGTCACTGCTAGTCTTCTTCTTTCCAGCTCACCGGCAGAGATCGACTTGCCACTGCATGTAGAGTGTTGTCATTAGCAAAGCTATGGATCACATTGGTTGTACAGGATATGTAACAGAAACAATGTGGAAGCCAAGACTAATACCCGGGCAGCACACACATTGTGGGATAGAGAGGAGAGCCCGTCAATTACAACGAATACTTTACAACCAGGTAGGAAGTCACCCACCCATTTGCAAAGTTCATCTGGACGGCCACAGGATTGAAGTCATCCTGAGATCATGTTTAACTGAAAATCGCAACCTTTCATTGTTAGGCCAATAATCATTCACCTCACACTTGTAAATGTGAAAACTGCCATGTAATCTTGCATATTTAAGAAACTGGATCCCTTGAGAACCCAATTATACGCGTTTCATTTTATATCGAAAACGTACTTTGAGGCAATTACGTTGCTGTATAATATTGTATATGCTGTGCCAATGCCGCGCGGTCGCAGCTTTCCAGAAAAACTCAGCCTCTAACCTGCCTAAAAATAATGTATTATGCAAGTGACAGTATGAAAAATGTCGACGGGTTTCCCAGCGTATCATCGGCGTCTTCGGTGCCGAAAATTATAATTAATCGAAGTTGGCCGAGGAATGGAAGCCACAATGGACGAAGTAATGATACCCATTTAGATATTTATGGTGTACAATTAGACTAGAAGTTGGAGCAAACCAGGGTTGATGACAATAGCGGGAAAAGAAGTATTTTATAAATACGAATGACCCTAAGTAGAGCTTATCAAGCTGGTTCTTGTTCTCAGCAGCTTTTTTCTGCAGAGGTAGGAGTGGAGATAACGTAACTATCCGACACTAGTAATACAGGAAACAAGACACAGGCTACTTCCGTTTTACAGATTTTGAGGTTGTGGTTCTTTTGGAACCATGAAGGTCCACATGTGGATGTTGAGCAAAGTTTTCCAAAATCGCGAACATTTTCGAAAATAAAATTGTTCTGATAAAACTTATTCTAACTCTCTTATGCCACTGTGTACAAATGACATTGCACTACATGCAAAACTGTACTAGAAACGTGCCAAATGTACAGAACTACCTTAACGCCATTTTTTTGAGTCGCAAGACTATATTTAATTGAAGTATCTCCCTTTTACTTCCCACGCCTACTGAACATTTTTTGTGGGTGGTGAAACTTGGGGATTGGGCGTTGCAAATGTAAAACGTCTTTAGTATTACTCAAAGAGCTTCCAAGATTATAAAGCTGACCTCGGTAACAACGAGAAAACTAAATGATAAAGGTCCCATATACTCGTATAGTGTGCTCATAATTTGAAATACATTGACAATCATTGGCGCGATGCTCCATCGTCGTGGAGGCCACTGCCGATTATGCAATGGGTAACAAACTGGTTTCTGGTGCTGTCGTCACTGACATACTGCTACAGAAAAAATACTTAAATATTCTATTTGGCAATATTTGGATATTATATGCTTTTGTAAATCATGGCTTAACTGCTTTTATATCTATAGGTACATATATTTTTGTGAATATTACTGACAAACCGACACAAATGAGAGACACATACTTGTGTGATGCAGATATGTTTAAGGGCTGTATCGTCAGTCGTTCCTACAAGATTGTAGGAGGAAAAAGACTATGACAATCATAGAGGCTATAAAGGCGTCCTATAATTATTGTAGGAACGACTAACGATACGGCCCTTAGAAACAGAGAACTTGTGATCCGAATTTTGAATATTATCGCGAGTTTAGTAATTCCATCGTTTAGGTAGTCACAGATTTTGAAAATTGATTCAGAAGGGGCGGAAATAAAATCGCTGGAGCATATTGTTATGAAGTTTCAGAGAGTCGTGCTCAGTTCCAAACATCGTTTGGAGTTTTAGAGGGGATGAAAATTGTAGTTTGGAAACTGTATACGGTAAATTGTTGCATGTCTGGAGCCAGTGAAGGACCTTCTATTATTAAGAAGCTGCATATCTCAGACATACTGTGCACCTGTTGGACATAATAATACAGCCATATTATCCCTGCATCTGCAAAGGAAACAGAAATATGATAGATTCGCTTTATACAGTTTGAGGTCCAAGATTGATCGTACCTAAATGAACCTACCTAATCACGATTCGATATTGCCTTTTAAAACTATTTGACTCATCCTTTTTCTCCCCCCAACGAGGGCGTAAGAAGTATAAAGACAATCTTCTTGTCACCATTTTTGAGCAAGTAATACAAAAAGCCTACTCTTCAGAATCGCATAAGTTCCAATCTTTTGTGAATGTAAATAATGCAAGAAAGAAATCATGTCAGGAAACTTCTTTCTCATGATTTTAAAACAACCTCTTTTTTAATGAAAGGATCCAAAAGTATATTGAAGTATAACTAATTACTGCTTGAATTTCGATGTTGCACAAAGCTTGTTATATGTTTCTAAACATTTCCGTGTCAAAATATCCCGCTGTTGGCTCAAACTTTTGGCATTTTACTTTCCTTTTATATAAAAACATAATTTAATAATCTATCCTCAAGGGCACTGGCGAAGGTATTTCATTTCCATGTTCAGAAAAGAGAAAAAGCGAACTTCATTTTGATAAGGATTTAGAAAAACATGAAGAGCGGCTAAGAATATAATACATTGCTTTCGACAGTCCGACAACAGATTACCAACCATGGACAGCTGTTTCGTGCTTTTTGGTACCTCATCAGTATGGTCCAGGCTTGTCCTGTAGGTAGGATAATGAACAAAAACTGAGTCTCTCTGTCTAAGGATTAAGGTATATCGAGACAAGACAGCACAGCACATCTATTACCAGAATTGATCACTGCGAGAGTGAGAAAGCAAGATGTCTGCTGGAAATGTATCTCAGTTCACATTGACAGCCACCACGGTGGTGACATTTGTGGATTCTGGCAATAGATGGCAATATTTATTGTCTATTTCAGACAGGGTTCATCCAATTATTAAGTGAACACTAAAGGAGGTGGGGGTTCTTCGCTTTGCTTTTTTTGGGATGGGGTGTCTGCATGGTGATTACGTTAACAATACTGTTTATATATTTTTTTTGGGTAATTTTTTACAACATTCAGTTGATCTTGATTTGAACACATCTGGCAACCCAGCTTGTCTGTGCCTAGAACCTTAGCGATAATGTGTATGACCGAGTAGGGAGCAGAATAACCCATCTTGATCTGGAACGGTCTGGTTTGATACCACCTTATGAGCATTTTGGGTCTCATTTGGATAAACGCGGCGTTCCAATTAATGAACATTTAGAAAGATCCAACTTAGAGTTTGCCGCAAATGTATTTCCATCAATGTAAATTGATGATTATCATGTTACTGCACAGCATGTTGTGTAGGGCGTGCCAGGCGTTCCTGATTTTCCAGTCATTATATGGTATTCAGGACATTTCCGTGAAAGCCAATACCTGCTACAAATTGTAAAATGTACCAAAATGCTTACGTAACCATGGGAGGGCGGTAAGAGATTTTCTTACTTTTGCTGACAAGGGGAAATGGTAATCATAGTAAAAAAATCTGCTTAAGTAATACTTGAATGTTCTCATGGTAAACACTTAAGCGAGTATTTACACTTGTCACTTAGGCACATTCGAAGCATTTTCTATCTACGGAATGATTTTTCTCGTATAAAAATCGCCGGCTATGGAGAGAGACACACAAAGCTATAGAAGGCAACGATATCACGATGGATTGTGGCAGAGGGGTGGATTATTTTTCGTGATTACTCTCAAAATCAGAATAAGGGGCAAATATATTAAAACGGAAAAAAGGGAATTACGCCGTAAGAAAAGGTCTGACTTCCACTTGAAAAATGCGGGAGGCAGTGAGGTACCGAAAACCATTTTTTAAAAAGCATATTAGCGAAAACCTATATTGACTCCAAGCCTGGGATTTGTCTACTATTAGCAGCACCTTTTTGGCTTCTTCAATGTTTACTTTAATTGGGCTCACACCAAATTAAAATAGGCCGAAAGGTATTGAGGATGCTATCCTATCTACGAGATAGGAAAACCAAACACTCTCTTTGAAGTATTTCTAAATTCTGCTACTGTCCCTTAGATGGTGTTACGATATTTTAGATTATCTCTTTGGCACCGAAACGATGGCTCCATGTTTAATATGTTAACCATTGGTTGTACCACGCGATTTTCGAATCGCACCTTACCGAAAAGCATTAGATTTTGACTGTTCATGGAACAGACTTGTAAAACAAAATATTATGTCAGAATTCTACCTTTTATTTAGCTAACTTATACGATAATGAATTAGGAACATAGATGAGACAAAGTATTACAATGCAAATTAAGTATAGATATGTACCTATAAACTGAAATGAATCATTTATGGAATGTAAACATCATCGATTTGGAACGCATTGGTAAAACAAAAATTAATTAAAATTACAACCCGCACCTCCTCCATTCCATGGAGCCCATCTAACAGATTAGTCTACAGTTTAGCTGGCAACCAACTTTCATGATCGACTGTTAGAGGCAATTTCAAAGCCACTCACGCCACGGCTCCTTTGTTCTCTCAAGCTGACGGATTGGTCGGGTATCTCGAATCGCTTTCTCGTTGCACCACGCTGCCTCGTGCGTGCACACCACGATACCACCGTGCAAGGATAGTAACCTACAGTATATTCAGATAAGAGATAGACCGGATGTAAACAAAAGGTTCGGGTGATTTTCACGCTAACGCCGCCGTCTCGACGTAAAACAGGAGCCCTCATTGGTCAATTCGCAATTAAATGCCTATGCCGAGCGGCAGAGCAGTCGTATCAAGGCAGAGTCACATTCAGGTTCAGACGTGTTACGTATGTCGTGTGCATCATTGCAATTTGATATTTCTTTGGACGTTTTCGTTTGTTATCTTATTAAGTTGTTGAGTTTGTCGTTGTTATTGTTATACCTTGTTATTGATTGTTATTGTTATCAACTGCTTGCGCAAAATGCCCACTAGTACAGATACTGCCGATGAAGTTGTAAACTCCTGTAGTCCACCTAGGAAACGCTCTAAAAAAAGACACCTGAGTGCAGAAATGAAAGAGGTCATTTTGAATATATATAAGATCGAGCGCGAGGAGAACGAGGCATCAACCATCAAAGAAATTGTTGTGAAGGTTTCTCACAAAGTTGGGGTGTGTCGCGCATCAGTGTTTAATGTGTTAAGACAATACAAAAAAATCACACCTTTTCTGAGCCAATGACCAGTAAACATCGCAAAAGTATTGTTAAATCATTGGATGAAGCTGATAAGCATGCGATTAGGAGGAAAGTGCATGAATTCTTCTTTAGGAATGAAATACCTACTATAGATAAAGTACTGCAGGAGGTAAATGGAGATACAACGTTGCCAAATTTCAAACGATCAACTTTCCATGCGTTACTGAAGCATTTAAATTTCAAATGGAAAAAACGGGGTCGTAATAGTTTACTACTGGATAGAGAAGAAATTGTGCTATGGAGGAGGGATTATTTAACAAAAATTGGGAAATATAGAAATCAAAACAGGAAGATTTATTACCTTGATGAAACGTGGGTAAACGCAGGACACACTACAAGTAAGGTATGGGTTGATGATTCTGTAACTTCATCCAGGAGGGCCTTTCTAGATGGACTGTCCACCGGATTAAAAAATCCAGCAGGTAAATACGAGTAATAGACAACAATCGGATGTTTTTCAAACCTTGGGAACAAGGTTCTAAACATTAATTCCAGGGGGCAGATAAAACATATTACAAGTAACAAAACTTTTATAACTTTCGATAAAATGCGTGGATGTTTTATTGTCATTTTCATTTGTTAGAACTTTTTTAAGCCATGTTTTTATGTGTTTTCGATATTTCAATAATTTTTTAATATAATCTTAAAATATGTCGAATATTATAAACTTAAAAAAGTTACTAAGTTTTATATTGTGTACCGTTCCTAATATTTCTAATCATTTTAATTCATACTTTAAGCTTTATAAAGTTATAATTTGTTAATATTAATATTTACGCGTATTTCAGGTTCCTGATCATTCATTTTTTAAAGGTTTATAACTTTAAATTAAATTGTGAAGCGCTTAGTAATCATACGACGTTCAATATTCTTTCTTTCAATATGACTAAATAATCCCAATTATAGCAATCTGATACTCATGTCTCAATGTTTTTTCGCTGAATGTGATGAAAACCTTTGAAAAAGGTTCGCTTATTGAAATAAATCTACACCAGTTAGTACTTCGATTTCCAGGTAAAGGGAAAAGGCTCATTATCTGCCATATTGGCAGTGAGGATGGATTTGTTGTTGACGGTCTGTGGTGCTTTAAGTCTAAGAAAACTGGAGATTACCACGAGGAAATGAATGGCGAATAGTTTGAACAGTGGTTTTCAAAAATTTTACCGAACTTAGAGGAAAACGCAGTAATTGTGTTGGATAATGCGCCTTATCATTCTCGAAGAATGGAGAAGGTCCCAACAACGGCTTCAAGGAAAGTTGATGTTCAAAATTGGCTCCGCTCGAAAAATATCAACTTTGAAGAAGCAATGCTGAAAGAATTGTCAAGGGTCACAAGGCGGAATATCAAAAATACGCCATTGACGAAATGGCAGCAAGTCAAAATAAAACTGTGCTCCGTTTACCTCCATACCATTGCGAGCTCAATCCCATTGAGCTCATATGGGCAGAGGTTAAAAATTATATAGCTAAGCACAATACAACTTTTAAATTTTGTGACCTCAAAGGACTTTTCAAAGAAGCACTAGAATTAATAACAGCGCAAAAATGGGAAAACTGTATTAAGCACGTGAAAGACAAAGTTGAAAAGAGAATGTGGGAACTGGACAATATTTTAGAGGAACAAGTCGAGCCATTCATTATTGACGTTGGTGCTTCAGGCAGTAGCGATGATGAAAGCTCATCAAGCTCATCTTTCCAATAAAAGATGTCGTTCATCAAATTCGGTAAGTTATAAGTAATTATAAAGCTACTGTATTTTTTAATTAATTATTGACATTTTTGAACCCATTTTGGCAAAACCTATTCAAGAATCTACTTTCTGACAATGTTCAACCATGCACATTTTTTTACGTTTTGAACGTTTTAATTTGGTTACATATTTACCTAGAAATCAAAAAATATACTAATCACTATTCTAAAAGCAATTTTAAGAGATATACGATTATTTTTAATTTAGGCTAATTTAAACGCCATTTTGAGATTATATTCGACTGTATTTCACCAAACATCAGGCGGCATCGAAGCTGGAAATCGAAGCGAAAATTTTGAAACCCTTATGTATATTTACATCATTATATATTTCTTACCCCACCCCCACATGATCCTATATCCATCACCAATCGTATACACATCGAATTGTGCTAATTTACTACAAAGTTACGCAAAGCAGCATCTACTATCTAAAATATGTACTGCGTGACTCTTAATACGTCCCTGCCGAATGCTACAGCGTTCGATGATCA